GGAAGGCAGGATTGGCTTTCAACAGGCTCTGAATTAAGGAAGGGAAATAAGGATGAGTAAAGAAAGAGATGTTTGGGGCTGTGAAGAGGGCATTGGAGCCTCAGTTAAGAGACATAGCTGGCTGTCTGCTGAGAGAGGGGAATTGGGTGTGGGGTAGGGGGACTCAGGAGAGTAGAAGAGGTTGGAAGGGAGCTGTGGTGGGAAGAGGGGCTCTCCCAGGTGCTCAAAGCAGCACAGAGAACCCAGCTGAAAGGTGCCAGCTGAGAACAGCTGAGTGATGCATCCTGAGTGACATCTTGGCTGCACAGGGAAGGAAAGGAGGAGGGAGGGATGGAAAGAGGGACGGAGGAGGGCCTGACAGACATGGGAATACTAGATGACTGGAGTTCTCCCTGGGGGAGTGGAGCAGGTATATTGGCTGCCCACCAGGAGGGAGCAATCTGGGGGCTACTCAGAGAATGGTGTGCCGGCATTTTAAATTTCAGAGAGAATAAAGTTCCAGATGCTGATAATCACCAAAGTGTGGTACTGGGAAGAAAGTGGGTGAAATGGAGTCAAGATAAAAGTTGTTGGAAGGAGGTCAAGAAGCTTTGCAGAAACCAGTAATATTGGTTGCTGAAGGGAAGGGGAACTGGGTGGAGGTGGGAGGGAGGCCTTTTACTAGGTGCCCTTTTGTACTTTTTGAATTTTGAATCATACGAATGATTCTATGAAGACATAAAAGAAACTGGACAATTTTTTTTAATTGGGGTGTGGATTAGGTTATTTGCTTAAACACTGGCAGGCCTGGGGAGGATGGCCTGAGCCAAGTACCACAGGCCTGGAAGTCAGTTGCTCATGGCAACAAGGAGAGGCGGGGAGTAGCAGAGCAGGACTCTTGAGGCTGGGAGGAAAGGGTGTCTGACCTGAAGTGGACGAGTCCTGATCCTGGGATTGACAAGGAGCTGGGAGAATCCACTATCATTTCCCCAGACCTAGTGTTGAGTTCTCCAGTGTTGAGCTGGGTCAGGGAGGATGTGGAAGACTTGGAGGAGAGGGAAGGTGGTGGGCTCCAGGGAGAACTAAATTCCATATAAGGTAGCAGGCGTAGGGAAAATTATGTCAGGAGGCTGAGGCTGTGAGGGGGTTCCAAGAGCTGAGGAGAATGAGTTACAAGGAAAGAGGAGGAGCCAGTATCAGGAACAGTCAGGGGAAGGGAGCACATTGCAGAAGACAGACAGGAGTCTGGGAAAGGTGTTTTTGCAAATGGATGGGAGTGGTGTGGGCCCTTCGTTTTCGTAGGGTTTCTTTTCTCAAGCTGTGAGCCCGCGTCACCACCGCCTGAACAGGCTGTAGCGTTCACCAGGGTTCCTACAGTGAGGGCAGAGCTGAGTGTGGGTCAAAGGAGAAAGAGGGAAAAGTTGGAGGTTTTGTTGTAATACAAGAAAAGTTTTATCAGCCTATGGATTAAAAAGGCCAAGCTGGCTTCCCTCTTCCTTTCCTATCGGTTGCTCAAGGAATATAGTTATTCCAGTCTGGGCTAAGCACAATTGCAAAGTAAACCCACCACCAAAAATACTTTGAATGCCTCAGAGAAATGTCTAAGCTTTCCTACCATTTTGGATTATCTAGGCTTCTGCTGCCCTCCATCAAGAGCAGTTCCCTAAGCCATGAGCTAGCTAGTCCTTGACCACTTCTCCCAGACATACACACATAAATACACAAACTCCTTTTCAGATTGAGCTTTTATGGACTCATAGGGCTGGAAAAGAGTTAAGAGCACAATCCCTCCATTTCACTGAAGAGAATACTGAAACCTCTAGTGCCTTGGGGACTTCAAACCTGGACTAGAACATAGACCTTTTGTCTCCTAGTTGTTCCTTGCATCTCTAGTCATATTTTATTTCTAAAGCCCACTAAGAATCCTGAATTTATCTGTTCTTGATACTATGCCAGGGCATTTGGTCCTGCCAGCCAAGAACAGGGGGGCCCCTCACCTCACACTGGCAGAAATTGGGAACCAAGGGCCAAGGATCTAGACATCCCTGCATCGGGTGTGGGGAAAACAGCCCTACAGTATCTCCCCAGCAGACTGTACAGGAAAGACAGCATTGTGCACTGCTGCTTGTTGCCATATAAAACTGCAACTGGGTGGACTGGACACCTGAAGCACTCATTGGCTCTGAACTCTACCTGCCACCAAGGACCACCTGTCTTAAACTCCAAGCTGAAATTAGGCCCCCTGTCCCATTCACACTCCGAGAAAGAAGTAGCAAGAAGGGGATAGGATACAAAACTTGACAAAGGAATTCTTATCTTGACAGCTTTTGTATTTCTGCTGCCACTGGGGTGTGAGCTATTCTTTTGAGAAGTACGGCAATGAGGAAAAGAAGAGATGAGATAGGGAAACGATTTTTAAAGTTTTTCTTTGAAAATTTTGTAGTCTGTCTCCCAATTAGGCAAAGGGGAAGGGAGCTCTCATTGATTCGGCACCTACTGTATACCAGGCTCACTTAAACCTCACATTAGCCCTGTTGAGGAATCAGGGCCTCCAATTCAAAGATAAAGACGCTGTGCTTCAGAGAATTAAGTAACTTGCCCAAGGGCCCTCCTTTAGTAAATAATAGAATATGGCTTTGAGCCTACGTGTGTCTGACACGAAAGCCAATGTTCTTTCTCGAATCCACATGGCCTGACTACAAAGGAGATTTCTACAATAGGGCATTTTAGAATAAAGAGAACTGAATGGATGCATAAAAGTCAGAGAATTTAAAAGGGAAAGGCAGAGTCAAGGCACCACATAAGCACTGTGCCCACTCTCCCACCAATGGGCATCCCTTGAGTTCAGGATTCAGTTTAAGTCAGGAACACACTTTATATGGGTAGATGCTGGCTGAGCTGATGAGGAACAACTTCAACAGTCAGTCATTTATTGCATGACTTTTATTTGCAAAACATAACCCATGACATAATTCTTGCAATCAAGAAGTTTACAATCTAATGGGGAAACTAGATATTGAAAGAATATAAAAAGCAGTTTCACCAAAACTAATGTATAAGGAAAAACTCTAGTCTCCTGGAGGATGTAATAAACAAATCCAATTGGCAGGAAACAGGGGCTTCTTCGCTTGGACCTGGATGGGTGGGGAACCGAGTGTGGGTATGAAAGGTGCAAGGAATTGGGAGGAAAGGAAGCCAGTCTGCAAGGCGCTAATAAATGCTGTTGGTGGAGCTGTGGAGACTGCAGCTTAGTTTGGGAGTGATAGAGCAAGAGAAGGCAGAGGTGCAGAGTTGAGGGGAGGTTTTGTTTAGGGCGGTGCAACTCGGACCTTGTCAGTCTGGGGGAATGGCGAGGATCAGAGGGACAGTCGCAGTTGTAAAGATTAAAGATAATAGAATCGTACTAATATAAATAATCGCATAATTAGAAGAATTAGTACTAGGGCTAATTATATAGTAGGGGTGAAATGGGCGAGGTTATTGACAGTGACAGTACAAGCGGAGGGCGTTTGCCTTGGCAAGAAATTGGAACCAATTCTGAGAATGGAGGAGAGGGGAAGATTGGGTGTGATTTTATACGATTGGCAGACTGAGGAGAGGCAAGGTAAAGGCACTGGATTGTTTGTCTTTGTAGGAAGTTAAAACATCTTTCAGGCCAGGAGGGCTGGAGTTGTTACTATTCAATGAGTTGGAAAAAGTCTCCAAGTGAACACACTCAACAGGGGGTGCAGGCGGGGGCTACAATGACCAAAGGCTCTGATAGCCGCGGGGCGACCTGCGAGGGGCCGGGGTTGCGGCCACTGGGCAAGGACCGCACCACCCATGGGAGCAGGTGGCAGCGCCACCCGGGGGTAGCCAGGCGGCCGGGGAGCGCAGGAGTGCGGGGGCGCGCACCAGGAGGCGCGGAGCCGGCGGCGCCACACGCCGCCAGGAGCGGGAGGCGGGCCCCAGCAAGCGGGCCTCCGCGCGGCACTTGGCACGCACGCGCAGACGGACCGCGGGGCCCAGAGGCACACAGGAGGGGGAGCGAGACAGAGGGGGTGTGGAACGTATTTCCGCTCTGGAGGACAAATAATACCGGCCAAAGGGGAGGCCAGCCCGTCCGGCCCTTTAACCGCGTGGGGGGGCTGGTGAAGAAAGGGGGGTCGAGAACGGGGGAATCCTGCTCCTTTAATTCCCTCCCCTCTTCCTCCTCCCCGAGTCCTCGCCGACGCCGCCGCGCGCGGGGCCTGGAACACACGGCACGAGCCGCCCCCGCCCCTCCCCCTTACGCCC